AGTGGCCATAAAAAGGTGACGAATTATTTAATAACTTTGTTTATTCGATTGTGCGACCAAAAATGCACCAAATCATCACGTTTGATGGAACCAGAGGATTTTCTTTTAGATTTATATTTGAATTCATTGATTATCGAACTAGTTACTGATTAATTTTCTGTTCATCAGCTAATCTTTGCAGCTCTGTAAACTGATAATTAGTGCTGGACAATAAAACAATAACAATATTTTTTTTCAATAACAAACTAACAAATGTTCAATAAATATTCAATAAATGATTGATTTTATTCACATAAATCATACAGGAATTAGGACTTAATTTAGTAAGATGTTTCTTTTGTTGAGGAAATAGGTCTGAAAAAAGCTTTTACTTAATTTTACTCGCACATATTTGTTGACAAAGATTTTATCATAATTGTTTTGAATGTTTACCCTCAGATTTGTGAAGTGATCCTCTGTTTGTCATCAAGTGTTGACCATAAATAAAGAGTTTAAACCTCAATTAACCCATTCACCATCACTCAGGAGCAAAAATCAACCTTTAAACTCGAAAGAAATAACAATTTGATACTTATCGTGATAATTATCGATATCGAAAGTTAGAAAACTTTTTATCGTGATATCATTTTTGGCCGTATCGTCCAGCCCTACTGATAATCAATCAGTTGTTTCAGTAATGTTTGAAGCAGAAGGCTGCGTCCGCCCTCCTCTCTTCTCTCCGCTGTTTCTGACCTTTTTGTACTTGAAACAATCAGTTAATCAATAAAACGATCAAAAGACTAATGAATGAATCTTTTCAACATGCTGGACTCATAAAACCGTCTCAGAAAACTTTTACTCAGATACTTTGTACTTTATACTTGTACTGCAGTCCACCTCAGAGGTACACGCTGTACTTTTTACTGCAGTGCAGCAGCTAGAGTCAAACTCAGCAGTACACAAAGTATTTAAAAGCTTCAACTCGACAACATTAAAATACAGAATGACAAATTAACAACGATTCAACAGTTTAATAAAATAAGATTCGGCATCATGAGAAGTTTTACTTTAGGTACATTTTGTTCCCAATACTTCTGTAGTTTCACTTACTTACTACTTTTAACGGAGTATTTCTACAGAGTGATATTTCTTTGACTGAAGTAAAGTATCTGAATCTTTCCTACACAAAAAAGTTTGATATTTCAGAGACAAGTTTTTTGTCTGGCAGCAGAAACATAATGATATTTATTAAATAAAAGCGAAGGTAATATATTCAGAATATATAATGTAGTGTATGTTAGTATATGTTTCCACATAGTGACGTGTCCACAGTTAACCCTTTATACTGTCAACACACACACACACAGTTATGTAACTCACTTTCACCTCCAGATTTTCACATTAAAACTCCTTTTATACCAAAAACAAAGTCGTGGCTCTCCACCTGCCGTCTGAACCTCCCCTGCTGATCCGTTATAAATACTTAGTTCATCACTTCTACAAACTTTTCTGCTCATTCAAGTGTGACTGCAGACATTCATCATCTCATCTGAGAATTTTCACATTAAAACATCCTCACTGCGTCAATTTAAAGTCTGTTTTTAAACAAAATATAATTCCTGAGTTTTAACGTGTAAAACTTTCTCCAGACCTTCCCCTCCCTCTCTCTCAGTTTCAGTTCAGAGCAGCAGCAGAGAGATTAGATGACTTTTAAAGAGTTGTTCTCACCTCAGCGGAGTCTGTCAGGCTGCAGAGTCGTGGCACTTTCTCTGACCGGGACCAGAAGCTCCGCCCCCAGGCGGCAGCGCGGCTCCTCATTGGTCAGCGCTGACGTCACTCAGATAAATTTAGCCGAACACAGATTGGTGGAGAGGACGCGGTGAGCTCGCCCACTGGCCTTATGGGAGATGTAGTTGTCTTGAAACAACAGATTTTACACCATAAGCAGATAAATAAAGTTAGTGCTGACGGTGTTTCATTATTTTGGTAAGTAGTAAAATTATTTCAAAGTTATTTCACTTCAACTAACAAGAACCATTAATGAAACTAAACTATTTTCTGGAACCATGATACATTTTATATTTGTTATTAATCTAATAATGCACATGTATTTAAATAAATGCCAAATTGTACATATTATTTTATTATTATTCTGTAACTTGTATATTGAGCAGGCTTTTGCAGTTCGGGTTAGAGAACCTGAGGCTCGCAGGATCTTTTCACTTCTACAGAACAGTGTGTTCTTCCATTTCTATCTTGTCCTACATGTCCATTGTTGTCTTGTTTTAACATTATGTCGTTTTAAATTGCTTAATTTAATTTGCCTCTGTTTTGAAATGTTTTTAATTTGTGTTCAATCAGAATCGTTTTTTATTGACAGGTACATTGAACTCGCCCCTGGAGGCGTACAGGTCCTGAAACGAAGGAAGATTGCAGCCAATCAGCTTCTCTGCAGAGCGAACGATGCGCTGCAGCCTGTCCTTGTCCCCTGCAGGGGCAGCAGCGAACCAGGGGCGAGTTCAACCTCTAAACGTTTTGCACCTGTTTGCAACGTTTTCAGATTGAACGCTATGTTTCCTTGAAATGTTGCGCAACGTTCTGCAACGGGCTTCGGGGTGTTTGCTCCCGTTTGGTGGGCGTGTCTCAGGTGTTACCCAATCAACTGCAGCAAGTTTGTAAACACAACGGCGTTAAAACGGCAGGAAAAAGCAGTGCGCTTGCGTACAAAACAGGGTGTTCAGGGGACCACCGTTCCCCAGTGACCGACACGCCCCCTTACTGGGTAGCCTATACTGATTGGACGCTGCAGCTGATCGGACTGATCTGATGCATCAGGACAGAAACATTAAACTCGAGTGCATCACTGCAAAGAGTTCGGCTGTATTTGATTTGTTTTCTGATTCACTGTCTAGTTAAAATCTGAGTTCATTGTAGGTCTGAACAACAAAAGCCCCACGAGACTTTCTGCATTTGGCCTTTTAGAAAGATTTTATTTTTCTTTTATTTCTCCCATCAACTCTTTTATTATGGAGACAATTAAAGTCAGAGAGTCTGTCAGCAAGAAACACGTTTTCCATCATGTCTATTCAGTCACATGTGAGGCTGCTCGCTCCTGAGTTTACATAACTGCTCCGCAAAGGATGCACTGGTGTGTCCTCGCTCAGAGCTCCTCGCTCAGAGCTCCTCGCTCCTCAGAGATTGTTCCTCGCTCCTCAGAGATTGTTCCTCGATCCTCACTCCTCGCTCCTCGTTCCTCAGAGATTGTTCCTCGCTCCTCGTTCCTCAGACATTGTTCCTCGCTCCTCACTCCTCGCTCCTCGTTCCTCAGACATTGTTCCTCGCTCCTCACTCCTCGCTCCTCGTTCCTCAGAGATTGTTCCTCACTCCTCGCTCCTCACTCCTCGCTCCTCAGAGATTGTTCCTCGTTCCTCGATCCTCACTCCTTGCTCCTCGTTCCTCGCTCACAGCTCCTCGCTCCTCAGAGATTGTTCCTCGCTCAGAGCTCCTCGCTCCTCGTTCCTCATTCCTCAGAGATTGTTCCTCGTTCCTCACTCCTCGCTCCTCAGAGATTGTTCCTCGTTCCTCACTCCTCGCTCCTCAGAGATTGTTCCTCGTTCCCCGTTCCTCAGAGATTGTTCCTCGCTCCTCGTTCCTCAGAGATTGTTCCTCGTTCCTCAGAGATTGTTCCTCGCTCCTTGTTCCTCGCTCCTCATACATTGTTCCTTGTTCCTTGCTCCTCGTTCCTCGCTCCTCAGAGATTGTTCCTCGCTCCTCGTTCCTCAGAGATTGTTCCTCGCTCCTCGTTTCTCAGACATTGTTCCTCGCTCCTCACTCCTCGCTCCTCGTTCCTCAGAGATTGTTCCTCGCTCAGAGCTCCTTAGAGATAGTTCCTCGCTCCTCATACATTGTTCCTTGTTCCTCGCTCCTCGCTCCTCAGAGATTGTTCCTCGCTCAGAGCTCCTCGCTCCTCGTTCCTCACTCCTCAGAGATTGTTCCTCGCTCCTCAGAGATTGTTCCTCGTTCCTCGCTCCTCACTCCTCACTCCTCGTTCCTCGTTCCTCGCTCCTCAGAGATTGTTCCTCGTTCCTCAGAGATTGTTCCTTGTTCCTCGCTCCTCACTCCTCGCTCCTCAGAGATTGTTCCTCGCTCCTCGCTCCTCGCTCCCTGTTCCTCGCTCCTCGTTCCTCAGAGATTGTTCCTCGTTCCTCAGAGATTGTTCCTCGCTCCTCGTTCCTCAGAGATTGTTCCTTGCTCCTCGCTCCCCGCTCCTCGCTCCTCGTTCCTCAGACATTGTTCCTCCATCCTCGCTCAGAGCTCCTTAGAGATAGTTCCTCGCTCCTCGTTCTTCGCTCCTCGATGTTCATTTTAACAATTTATGATTCAAGCGAGGATCAAGGAAACAACGAATAAGAGGGCCTTTCTCATTTCCCAAATTTCTGTCTCCTCGACTCCTCGATGTGCATTTTAAGAATTGAGATGTCCTTCAAGATGGCGCGCTGAGATCAATTTCCGGGTCACATTCTCGAGGAGTCGAGGAGTCAGAAATTTGGAGAAAGGCCCAGAGACTTGAGAAGCACCCTCGTTGTCTTTGGCAGGCCGAACTTCTGCAGCTGCTGCAGGAAGTACATCCTCTGCTGGGCCTTTGTGTTGAGGGAACTCTAATAAGAAGAATGGCACAAAGTTTATAATCATCATGTTTTCAACTTAAAGACCAAAAGCTCTCCTCATAAATATTAAATAAAAAGAAACGTTACAACAATCTAGAAATATAATGTGTTTTACAGTATGATATTGTGATTGATGCCTTTTTGTCTTCTTATCTGCAAGGTTTCTTCTTTTTTGGTTTTTATTTATTTATAATTTTGTAAAATATTTTTATTTTATTTATTTATCTGGTGTCCTTCATTTAATTAATCTATGATTATATTTTATTTCATGTCACAGCACTCCTGGATCTTGCTGCGTACCTGACGTGCCCGGTAACCGCCAGCGGAGGGCGCTCGTCCGACAGCCTGAATCTCGAGCGCCGGCAGCAGCAGCAGAAGAAGAACCTCTCAGCAGCACAGCCAGGTAGCCGCTGGCTAACGCGAGGCTAAAGCTAACGGGATGTCTACGGCCTCTAAAGTGGTTCTGGGAGTTTCTGTGGTTCTGACTCTGAGCACTGTGGCTGGAGTTCACCTCAAGCAGACCTGGGACAGACAGGTAAACCGAGCCGAGCCGAGCCGGACTGACGGCAGCAGGGCTAACGGGTAGCTAACAGTTAGCCAGGTTAACGGGGCGGCGAGGTCACCGGATGTTACCGGTTTGTCGTATCATTTAAAGTTAAAACCTGTCGGTGAGTTTACCGGATAAAAACTGCATTTAAACCCTCGCAGAACGAAAAACAGCAGAATGTAAACACAGCGGCTCAGCTAACAATGCTAACAGCAGCTAGCAAGGACTTCCGGTGTGGACTTCACAATAAAGGCGTCAGACAAACCCGCCGCGTAAGAGTACTACAACTACCGTGTAGAAATACTGTGCTGCAGTAAAAGTACTACAACTACCGTGTAGAAATACTGTGCTGCAGTAAAAGTACTACAACCACCGTGTAGAAATACTGTGCTGCAGTAAAAGTACTACAACTACCGTGTAGAAATACTGTGCTGCAGTAAAAGTACTACAGCCACCGTGTAGAAATACTGTGCTGCAGTAAAAGTACTACAACCACCGTGTAGAAATACTGTGCTGCAGTAAAAGTACTACAACCACCGTGTAGAAATACTGTGCTGCAGTAAAAGTACTACAACTACCGTGTAGAAATACTGTGCTGCAGTAAAAGTACTACAACCACCGTGTAGAAATACTGTGCTGCAGTAAAAGTACTACAACCACCGTGTAGAAATACTGTGCTGCAGTAAAAGTACTACAACCACTGTGTAGAAATACTGTGCTGCAGTAAAAGTACTACAACCACCGTGTAGAAATACTGTGTTGCAGTAGAAAGTACTACAACCACCTTGTAGAAATACTCTGCTGCAGTAAAAGTACTACAACCACCGTGTAGAAATACTGTGCTGCAGTAAAAGTACTACAACTACTGTGTAGAAATACTGTGCTGCAGTAAAAGTACTACAACCACCGTGTAGAAATACTGTGTTGCAGTAGAAAGTACTACAACCACCTTGTAGAAATACTGTGCTGCAGTAAAAGTACTACAACCACCGTGTAGAAATACTGTGCTGCAGTAAAAGTACTACAACTACTGTGTAGAAATACTGTGCTGCAGTAGAAAGTACTACAACCACCGTGTAGAAATACTGTGCTGCAGTAGAAAGTACTACAACCACCGTGTAGAAATACTGTGCTGCAGTAAAAGTACTACAGCCACCGTGTAGAAATACTGTGCTGCAGTAGAAAGTACTACAGCCACCGTGTAGAAATACTGTGCTGCAGTAGAAAGTACTACAGCCACCGTGTAGAAATACTGTGCTGCAGTAGAAAGTACTACAACCACCGTGTAGAAATACTCTGCTGCAGTAGAAAGTACTACAGCCACTGTGTAGAAATACTCTGCTGCAGTAAAGGTACTACAGCCACCGTGTAGAAATACTCTGCTGCAGTAAAAGTACTACAGCCACTGTGTAGAAATACTCTGCTGCAGTAAAAGTACTACAGCCACCGTGTAGAAATACACTGCTGCAGTAAAAAGTACTACAGCCACCGTGTAGAAATACTCTGCTGCAGTAAAAGTACTACAGCCACCGTGTAGAAATACTCTGCTGCAGTAAAGTACTACAGCCACCGTGTAGAAATACTCTGCTGCAGTAAAAGTATTTCAGCCACTGTGTAGAAATACTCTGCTGCAGTAAAAGTATTTCAGCCACCGTGTAGAAATACTCTGCTGCAGTAAAAAGTACTACAGCCACTGTGTAGAAATACTCTGCTGCAGTAAAAGTACTACAGCCACCGTGTAGAAATACTGTGCTGCAGTAAAAGTACTACAGCCACCGTGTAGAAATACACTGCTGCAGTAAAAAGTACTACAGCCACCGTGTAGAAATACTCTGCTGCAGTAAAAGTACTACAGCCACCGTGTAGAAATACTCTGCTGCAGTAAAAAGTACTACAGCCACTGTGTAGAAATACTCTGCTGCAGTAAAAGTACTACAGCCACCGTGTAGAAATACTGTGCTGCAGTAAAAGTACTACAGCCACCGTGTAGAAATACACTGCTGCAGTAAAAAGTACTACAGCCACCGTGTAGAAATACTCTGCTGCAGTAAAAGTACTACAGCCACCGTGTAGAAATACTCTGCTGCAGTAAAGGTACTACAGCCACCGTGTAGAAATACTCTGCTGCAGTAAAAGTATTTCAGCCACCGTGTAGAAATACTCTGCTGCAGTAAAGGTACTACAGCCACCGTGTAGAAATACTCTGCTGCAGTAAAAGTATTTCAGCCACTGTGTAGAAATACTCTGCTGCAGTAAAAGTATTTCAGCCACTGTGTAGAAATACTCTGCTGCAGTAAAAGTACTACAGCCACTGTGTAGAAATACTCTGCTGCAGTAGAAAGTACTGCAGCCACCGTGTAGAAATACTCTGCTGCAGTAGAAAGTACTGCAGCCACCGTGTAGAAATACTCTGCTGCAGTAAAGGGTACTACAGCCACCGTGTAGAAATACTCTGCTGCAGTAAATGTACTACAGCCACCGTGTAGAAATACTGTGCTGCAGTAAAAGTACTACAGCCACCGTGTAGAAATACTCTGCTGCAGTAAAAGTACTACAACCACCGTGTAGAAATACTCTGCTGCAGTAAAGGTACTACAGCCACCGTGTAGAAATACTCTGCTGCAGTAAAAGTACTACAGCCACCGTGTAGAAATACTCTGCTGCAGTAAAGGTACTACAGCCACTGTGTAGAAATACTCTGCTGCAGTAGAAAGTACTACAGCCACCGTGTAGAAATACTCTGCTGCAGTAAAAAGTATTTCAGCCACTGTGTAGAAATACTCTGCTGCAGTAAAAGTATTTCAGCCACCGTGTAGAAATACTCTGCTGCAGTAAAAGTATTTCAGCCACCGTGTAGAAATACACTGCTGCAGTAAAAAGTACTACAGCCACTGTGTAGAAATACTCTGCTGCAGTAAAAGTATTTCAGCCACCGTGTAGAAATACACTGCTGCAGTAAAAGGACTACAGCCACCGTGTAGAAATACTCTGCTGCAGTAGAAGGACTACAACCACCGTGTAGAAATACTCTGCTGCAGTAAAAGGACTACAGCCACCGTGTAGAAATACTCTGCTGCAGTAGAAGTACTACAGCCACCGTGTAGAAATACTCTGCTGCAGTAGAAGGACTACAACCACCGTGTAGAAATACTCTGCTGCAGTAAAAGTACTACAACCACCGTGTAGAAATACTCTGCTGCAGTAAAAAGTATTTCAACCACCGTGTAGAAATACTCTGCTGCAGTAAAAAGTATTTCAGCCACTGTGTAGAAATACTCTGCTGCAGTAAAAGTATTTCAGCCACTGTGTAGAAATACTCTGCTGCAGTAAAAGTATTTCAGCCACCGTGTAGAAATACTCTGCTGCAGTAAAAAGTATTTCAGCCACTGTGTAGAAATACTCTGCTGCAGTAAAAGTATTTCAGCCACCGTGTAGAAATACACTGCTGCAGTAAAAGGACTACAGCCACCGTGTAGAAATACTCTGCTGCAGTAGAAGGACTACAACCACCGTGTAGAAATACTCTGCTGCAGTAAAAGGACTACAGCCACCACGTAGAAATACTCTGCTGCAGTAGAAGTACTACAGCCACCGTGTAGAAATACTCTGCTGCAGTAGAAGGACTACAACCACCGTGTAGAAATACTCTGCTGCAGTAAAAGTACTACAACCACCGTGTAGAAATACTCTGCTGCAGTAAAAGTACTGCAACCACCGTGTAGAAATACTCTGCTGCAGTAAAAGTACTACAACCACCGTGTAGAAATACTCTGCTGCAGTAAAAGTACTACAACCACCGTGTAGAAATACTCTGCTGCAGTAAAAGGACTACAACCACCGTGTAGAAATACTCTGCTGCAGTAAAAGGACTACAGCCACCGTGTAGAAATACTCTGCTGCAGTAGAAGTACTACAGCCACCGTGTAGAAATACTCTGCTGCAGTAGAAGGACTACAACCACCGTGTAGAAATACTCTGCTGCAGTAAAAGGACTACAGCCACCGTGTAGAAATACTCTGCTGCAGTAAAAGGACTACAGCCACCGTGTAGAAATACTCTGCTGCAGTAAATGTACTACAGCCACCGTGTAGAAATACACTGCTGCAGTAAAAGGACTACAGCCACCGTGTAGAAATACTCTGCTGCAGTAAAAGGACTACAGCCACCGTGTAGAAATACTCTGCTGCAGTAGAAGGACTACAACCACCGTGTAGAAATACTCTGCTGCAGTAAAAGTATTTCAGCCACCGTGTAGAAATACTCTGCTGCAGTAAAAGTACTACAGCCACCGTGTAGAAATACTCTGCTGCAGTAGAAGTACTACAGCCACCGTGTAGAAATACTCTGCTGCAGTAAAAGTACTGCAGCCACCGTGTAGAAATACTCTGCTGCAGTAAAAGTACTACAGCCACTGTGTAGAAATACTCTGCTGCAGTAAAAGTACTACAGCCACTGTGTAGAAATACTCTGCTGCAGTAGAAAGTACTGCAGCCACCGTGTAGAAATACTCTGCTGCAGTAAAAGTACTACAGCCACTGTGTAGAAATACTCTGCTGCAGTAGAAAGTACTGCAGCCACCGTGTAGAAATACTCTGCTGCAGTAGAAAGTACTGCAGCCACCGTGTAGAAATACTCTGCTGCAGTAAAGGGTACTACAGCCACCGTGTAGAAATACTCTGCTGCAGTAAATGTACTACAGCCACCGTGTAGAAATACTGTGCTGCAGTAAAAGTACTACAGCCACCGTGTAGAAATACTCTGCTGCAGTAAAAGTACTACAACCACCGTGTAGAAATACTCTGCTGCAGTAAAAGTACTACAGCCACCGTGTAGAAATACTCTGCTGCAGTAAAGGTACTACAGCCACCGTGTAGAAATACTCTGCTGCAGTAAAGGTACTACAGCCACTGTGTAGAAATACTCTGCTGCAGTAAAAAGTATTTCAGCCACCGTGTAGAAATACTCTGCTGCAGTAAAAGTATTTCAGCCACTGTGTAGAAATACTCTGCTGCAGTAAATGGGATGACTTCCCATCAACCTCAGCTGTGTTTACTGCTAATAAGCTAATGTTAGCATTTAGCTCAAAGCGCTACAGCACAGCTGCAGACTCTCAGCGCGGCACTTCAGGTGTATTTGTGTGTTTTGTCCTGCAGCGTCTCCACGAGGGCGTAGTCAGAGATCTGGAGCGGCTGGAGAGGAAGAAGGAGAATCTGAGGCTGCTGGAGGAGCAGAAGACTCTGACCAGACAGCTGGAGGAGGAGAGGCAACGCAGAGAGGCAGAGCTCCGCCCACACGACCACTGAGGCAGGTAAACACTCTGATACACCTGTTAAAAGGTTGATTTACAATCTGAATGTCAGCGTCACGATTGAAGCTTCAGCTGTTCGGCTCAGCCAAGAAGAAACCTCTGCGCCTGAAAATACAAACTCTACTGCACTCAAACCCGTTCTGTAATTCACGTTAACTGTGATATCAGCAGGGAGCAGCGCTGCACAATGAATCTAATCTAATCTAATCGCGATGTCCTCATGTGCGATTACATAACCACAAAAAGTTAAGCCAGCAGGGGGCAACTTAAACCTGCGTCCTCTCCAGCAGCCAACAGGGGGCAACTTAAACCTGCGTCCTCTCCAGCAGCCAGCAGGGGGCGACTTAAACCTGCGTCCTCTCTAGCAGCCAGCAGGGGGCGACTTAAAGCTGCGTTCTCTCCAGCCGCCAGCAGGGGGCGACTTAAACCTGCGTCCTCTCCAGCGGCCAGCAGGGGGCGACTTAAACCTGCGTCCTCTCCAGCAGCCAGCAGGGGGCGACTTAAACCTGCGTCCTCTCCAGCAGCCAGCAGGGGGCGACTTAAACCTGCGTCCTCTCCAGCAGCCAGCAGGGGGCGACTTAAACCTGCGTCCTCTCCAGCAGCCAGCAGGGGGCGACTTAAACCTGCGTCCTCTCCAGCAGCCAGCAGGGGGCGACTTAAACCTGCGTCCTCTCTAGCAGCCAGCAGGGGGCGACTTAAACCTGCGTCCTCTCTAGCAGCCAGCAGGGGGCGACTTAAAGCTGCGTTCTCTCCAGCGGCCAGCAGGGGGCGACTTAAACCTGCGTCCTCTCTAGCAGCCAGCAGGGGGCGACTTAAACCTGCGTCCTCTCCAGCAGCCAGCAGGGGGCGACTTAAACCTGCGTCCTCTCTAGCAGCCAGCAGGGGGCGACTTAAACCTGCGTCCTCTCTAGCAGCCAGCAGGGGGCGACTTAAACCTGCGTCCTCTCTAGCAGCCAGCAGGGGGCGACTTAAACCTGCGTCCTCTCTAGCAGCCAGCAGGGGGCGACTTAAACCTGCGTCCTCTCTAGCAGCCAGCAGGGGGCGACTTAAACCGGCGTCCTCTCCAGCGGCCAGCAGGGGGCGACTTAAACCTGCGTCCTCTCTAGCGGCCAGCAGGGGGCGACTTAAACCTGCGTCCTCTCCAGCGGCCAGCAGGGGGCGCCTTAAACCTGCGTCCTCTCCAGCGGCCAGCAGGGGGCGACTTAAACCTGCGTCCTCTCTAGCGGCCAGCAGGGGGCGACTTAAACCTGCGTCCTCTCTAGCGGCCAGCAGGGGGCGACTTAAACCTGCGTCCTCTCTAGCGGCCAGCAGGGGGCGACTTAAACCTGCGTCTCCTCCAGCAGCCAGCAGGGGGCGACTTAAACCTGCGTCCCCTCCAGCGGCCAGCAGGGGGCGACTTAAACCTGCGTCCCCTCCAGCGGCCAGCAGGGGGCGACTTAAACCTGCGTCCTCTCTAGCGGCCAGCAGGGGGCGACTTAAACCTGCGTCCTCTCTAGCGGCCAGCAGGGGGCGACTTAAACCTGCGTCCTCTCTAGCGGCCAGCAGGGGGCGACTTAAACCTGCGTCCTCTCTAGCGGCCAGCAGGGGGCGACTTAAACCTGCGTCCTCTCTAGCGGCCAGCAGGGGGCGACTTAAACCTGCGTCCCCTCCAGCAGCCAGCAGGGGGCGACTTAAACCTGCGTCCTCTCTAGCAGCCAGCAGGGGGCGACTTAAACCTCTCTAGCAACTTTTTGTGGTTATGTAATCGCACATGAGGACATCGCAATTAGATTAGATTAGATTCATTGTGCAGCGCTGCTCCCTGCTGATATCACAGTTAACGTGAATTACAGAACGGGTTTGAGTGCAGTAGAGTTTGTATTTTCAGAGCAGCTCTGTTCTGGAAAAAGGTTGATGTTTTTTGCCGCCGGACGTTTCCCCGTACAGGTGTGTCGCTGTGACTGAGGACCAGTGATGGACAGCAGCAGTGAGCAGCCCGGTGGAGGCGAGGACGAGACGGCCTGTACGTCGGCCTCAGAGGGTCTGGAGGAGGGGGAGGTGGAGGGCGAGACTCTGCTGATCGTGGAGTCGGAGGATCAGGGGTCGGTGGATCTGTCACATGACCAGAGCGGAGACTCTCTGACCAGCGACGTGGGCGAGGAGACAGACGGAGGCTGGGCCTGTGAGGACATGTCCTTCTACTGCGACCGCTGCCACAAGTGGGTCCCTGCAGGTGAGGCTCAGAGTCTAGACCTTATTGTCACTGCTGTTGTCCCGTGAAGAATGAAAAGACGAGCCCCGCCCACCTTCTCACCTCCACCAGCGGACCAATCGCTGAGTGATGTGGCTGTGACGTCAGATGGCGTGTGGAGCTTTTGTCTTCCTCTTCAGGCAGAGAGGATGATCACTGTGTCAGTCGAACGACGTTCATGCTGCGTCGCTCATTTCAGTTTTCTGGTTCCTCAAAGAGGTTTTGGAAAAACCCGCTAACGCCACATTACAGCCACGCAGAGTCTCGGGCTGGATTCCAGAAGTAAACAAATATCTACAGTTCCATAACAACGATCCATGATTAAGGTTGAGTAAATGTAAGAGCTACACAGTATGGAAGCCTGTAGGGGACAGTATTAAAATGTAGTAATAAAGTAAACGTGACCCTGTCTGTTCTGTAATGTAGGTAAAACTAATCAAATACAGAACTGAAATGAAGATTGGCAGGACATTTATAAATGTGAAGGTTCACGTCAGAGATTTCTTCTCTGGGTTAAAGCTGAAAAAAGGGTGTTTCTGTCCTGTTTGACTCTGTTTTTCAGCTCAGCTCCGCGGGGAGCAGCCCAGCTACCTGAAAGGAGACAACTTCTTTAAATTCATCTGCTCCGACTGCTCCGAGGACGCCAAGGAGAGCTTTGAGAGGATGAGGCTCACCTGGCAGCAGGTACGAGCTCTGCTGCTCACTGCAGACACGCTTATTATCAGTGAAGGACACTGTGAGCGCAGTGAAGACGTTATCGTGTGTGTGTGTGTGTCAGGTGGTGATGTTGGCCATGTACAACCTGTCTCTGGAGGGGACGGGTCGCCAGGGTTACTTCAGGTGGAAAGAAGACATCTGCGCTTTCATTGGCCGACACTGGAACTTCCTGCTGGGAACAAGGTCACTGTAACTTTGATTTATCTGAATTTATTACACTGCTGGTCACGTGATGTAGCTGTCTGTCGACGGGCCGTTCAGCACGCCGTCCTGCTTGATTGGTCCAGAAGATGACGAGTTTCCTGTTGCTGTGCGGCAGGAAGAAGACGTCGACGTGGTGGAGCACTGTGGCCGGCTGCCTGTCGGTCGGCAGTCCCACCTTCTTCCGTTCAGGAGCGCAGGAGTTCGGTGAGCCTGGCTGGTGGAAGCTGGTCCAGAACAGACCTCCAACTCTGAGACCTGAGGTGGACAAATCCACCACCAAGACCAAAGGTGACCCCCACCTGCACCCAACCAGGAGCGCTCTGTTCAGATCCTTTAGTGAACCCCTCGCAGGTAAATGACGCTGAGCTGATATTTCGTTGTTCCTCTGCAGCCTTGAAACCTGCCGTGGACCCGATCATCACCGTGGAGGGCCTGAGGAAGCGCGGGGCCAGGAACCCTGTGGAGAGCGCCATGCAGCTGAAGGAAAAACGCTCTCGCACACAAGAGGCCAAAGACATCCGGCGAGCTCAGAAGGAGGCGGTGGGAGGCTTCACCGACCGCAGCACCTCATCCACGCCTGTCAAACTGGGCGGATGCCGTGGAGGGGGAGCCGGACGCCGGCCCGACCTCGTCCTGGAGAAAGGTGAGGTCATCGATTTCTCCTCGCTCAGCTCTTCAGACAGAACACCGCTCACCAGCCCGTCGCCATCACCGTCGCCTGACTTTTCCGGCCCGGGAACGCCGGCTTCTCATTCAGCAACACCCAGCCTGCTGTCAGAGGCGGACCTCATCCCTGACCCCATGCCTCCACAGGCTCTGTTCCACGGTGAGTTTACGTCATCCAGGTGTTTTCTCCTAAAGCAACATTTACTAAATGAACCAGTCGTGAGTAGTTGTTGTTTTAACGTCGCGTCCTCTCTGCTGCTTGGACCTCCAGACGACGAGGAGATGGAGGGAATGATCGACCCGGGGATGGAGTACATCCCTCCTCCCAGCGCCAACCTTGTCACCCGCAAGAAGCTGCGGACAGCACCGCCGCACATTAAATGTGAAGGCGAGAGCGAGGACGACGAAGGCCGCGAGGACGACTTTGAAGAGCCAGTGGGACGAAGCGAAGGTCCGTCTCACTCTGCCGGCGTCGGTGCCGGTGGGCCCGAGCGAAGGAGGATAACTCGCCCTGAGAAAGCAGATGCGTCCGGCGGCGTCTCCCAGAGTCCTCGTTATGCCCTGCTCAGTCTTTACGAGGAGAGGATGTTGCTGCGACGGCTGGAGGCCTGCCCGCTGGCCTTGGCTGTCACCCCGCAGGCCAAACGCCTCCACAGGAAGCTGCTGGTCCGCCAGGCCAAGAGGCAGAGAGGGCTTCCCCTGCTGGACATCGACCGGGCCGTCAGCGCTACCCTCAGCCTGGTGGGAGGTATCTACGGCGCCCAGGAGGTGGGGACACTGATGCGAGGTGGAATCATGGGGAAATACTGCACCAGCAGCCAGGAGCTGCGTATTCTTGATCGCTTCCAGGTACCTTCAACATTCATAATGGTCAGTCAGTCAGTTGCCCTTAATCTGTCTCTGAGTCCCTCCAGTCGTGTCCCAGCACCCTGTTTCAGCTGGAATGATATTAAGGAAGTGGTCTCTTAATGTTGTATTGTGGGAAACTCTGCCCTGTACAGAGTCAGCTATATTTCTTACAACAGAATCTGAGAAGACTACAAAATACAGTAGGTCATAATAAATATGAAATGATTGAAATGATTTTATTTTGTAAGCTCAGTTGCTCTGAACGTTGTTCTAAACTCTCTGCCAGTGTTGTTCTCACCAGTCCACCAACAGCCCGCTGTTGTAAGAAAG